CTGCGGGGAGCAATGACCAGTAATTCAACCATTTGGGCTCATTCCTCATGACTGCCGCCCAACGTACTCTTTCGCCTGGCCAACCAGGAGAGGAAACCTGCAACAAACACGCAATATCAAGAATGCTTAGTGGGCGTGAAGGGAAATCAAGCAGCCGCCGCCTTCCTTTGCTGAAGCTGACACACAGTGCAGAGTGCATGCGTTTTCTTCTCACCGTATGAGAAACAGTAATCTCGATAGAAAAGCCTCTAAATTTTATCCTAAATCGCCCTGCAGATTTCACACCCCAGCAGTGCAGGGAAGCAGCGGATTTGGAAGATGTCAGGTTTCTCGCCATCTAGTGCCGACATGAAGCTACCCTTAGAAATGCCGCTTTCGTTACAGTCAAAGACAAATAAAGCAACTCGAAAGCGTTAAGACAAACCCTCACTTGTTATACCTTTGAGCAGGACTACTGTGCAGTGCATAAAGGATGCGTGAATGCAGACTGTACTTAAACGCTACACCACCAGCAGAATTCGGCTGTTGGACTTCTCACCCGGATGAGGAGGTCTGGGCTGGCTTCCAGCGCTTTGAAGGAAGCGCAACACGGTGTTCATGTCCTCTCTCGTCTGCAAACAGACGGGTGCACAAACATCACACCGCGAGGTTCGCGTAAGGCTTCCCAACCGCAGAAACAACAGCGACAGCAACAACAGCGCGCCGCCGTCTGAGTTTCTGCAGCTCTCTTCCCTCAAGCTCAAAAGCAAATCCCAAAACGAATATTGCAGCAACCGCAACTACAAACCTCTCCCTGTTCCCTTTCCTCTCTGTTTCGTGTACCTAATTGATCTCCGCTGGCTCTGCGACACGCACGACGTACCTGCGGGTCGCCGATAAGTGGGAAGGCGTACATCCAGCCTGCCGGGAAATCAGGCTGAAAGAACGACTCAAGCGCACCCGCTGCGGATGTAGCTACTCGTTTTAGGCCGGCCACGAGAGGACCACCTGCCTGGGTTACGGCGGACGCAGTTGTTTGCTGGGATGCTCCTGCACTGGGATGCGGCATTTCTCCAGGTGCACTAGCTTCCCCAGTTCCCCAATTGTCCCCACTGGATTGCTTTCCTTGTACACCTGTCAGCGCTCCCCCAGATTCCCGGACAGCCGGAGCTGCTGTTGGCTCTTGGGACTCTGCAGGCTCCTGCCCTGGTTCCTCTGCACCGGGACTCCCTGCAGGACGTTCAGGCGCTTGCAAATCAGTCATTGGCTGCCAGGGAAGCTGTTCTGGTACATCTTCTGGCCGTTCCCCAGACTCCCCACCCTTTCCAGAAACTCCTGACATATCAACCAATTCAAACACAAGCTGCTGTGTCGTTCCTGTCGAACGTGCCCCTGGATCTGCCCAAGCACCCTTCGCACCTCCAGGTAGTTGTTGGGCTGGGTGTCCAGGCTCTTCCGTTGTTCCTTGGGATGTTCCAGGCCCCCCCGATGGTTCCTCTGTATCGAGACTCCATGCAGGACGTTCAGGCCCCTGCTCATCAGGCATTCGCTGCCAGGGAAGCTGTTCTGGTACATCTGCTGGCTGTTCCCCAGACTCGCCACCCGTTGCACCGACTGCCGATAAATCAAGCCATGGAAACACGAGCTGATGTGTGCTTCCTGCCGAACCTTCCCCTGGATCTGCCCAAGCACCCTCCGCTCCTGGTACATCTGCTGGCTGCTCCCCAGACTCCCTACCCTTTCGAGCAACTCCTGACATATCAACCATTTCAAACACAAGCTGCGGTGTCCTTCCTGTCGAACGTGCTTCTGGATCTGCCCAAGCACCCTTCGGACCCGCAGGTAGATGATGGGCTCGGTGTCCAGGCTTCTGCTTCGTTCCTCCTCCACTCCCTGTCAAGTATCCCCCAACTCCCGCAGTGCCTGCTGATCGAAAGGGCAGTGCGTACCCAGCCCCTTGTGCTCCATCTTCTCGATCAGCAGCTGAAGATCCCTTTCTTTCCGAAGCCTTCGGTGGCGCCCAAGGCCTTGGCAACCCTTGACCTTCTTCTTGGTCATCTTCCCGCCCTGCAGAAACAGCAGATCCCGTTGCACCGCTTGGCGCATCAGGCGCTGGAGCTTGGGCCTGCTCTGCCTGTTCACCACCAGCTGCTGCAGTTGCCTCAGCTTCCGCAGGAGTCGTATGCCCACGAGGCTCTTCTGAAGACGGATTCTGTGTTTCTTTCCCATAGGATTCCGCTGCTGCTGAAGCGACTGGAGACCCTGGTGATGTGTCAGGTGTTGCTGGCTCAGGCTGACGCTCCCTTTGAGCTTCCCTTTTTTTCTTCGAACCTTTACGTGT